GCCTCGTTCAATTCTGTTATAGATAATTCAGTGTCACTTTTGATTGTGTCAAGCCACCAAGTCATTGGTCGGCCTTGCGCTCTTTTTCCACTAACCATCCCCAGCATGATCACCTTCTCGAGGGAGCTGGTTCTCATTATATGACCAAAAAAAAAAACAGTTTCTGTTTGGTTATATGTGCTTGCAGTGAGATTTTCGATTGGGCTCTGTCTAAGACAGTTTTGTTGGTGATCCGCGCTGTCCATGGAATGTGCAAAAGCCGTCTCCAACACCACAGTTCAAAAGCAACTATCTTCCTTCTGTCCATTTTCTTTCGATTCCAAGTTTCACATCCATATATGAAAATAGGAAAAATAACTGCGCTAACTAATCTGCATTTAATTTGGAGGCAGATGTTTTTGCTCTCCCAAAAGCTGTTCATGCTGATCATCGAGGTTCATCCAAGGGCTATGCGTCTTCTGATTTTGGGACTGCAATCTCCATTACGGGTGATTTTGAACCTGAGGAATATAAAATCTTCCACTACCTTGATTTCTTCACCATTGCTCACTATTCTGACTTCCATATTCCGTGCAGTAGTCATTATTTTGGTCTCCTTGAAGTTAAGAATCAGCCCTACCTTTGCACTTTTGTGCTTAACTCTCAGCAGCAGCTGCTGAAGATCTTCCTGACTTTCCACGAGTGGCGTGGTATCACCCGCATATCAGAGATTATTGATGTTCCTGACTCAAATTTTCCCTCCAATATTAGACTTATTCAAATCTACTTGCCTCATCGCTACATCTGCATACAGATTCAATAGTGATGGTGAAAGGATACAGCCCTGGCAGGTACCCCTTCTGATCTTAAACCAGTCTGTATCATCATATGGCATTCTTACAATGGCTTCTTGTCCAGTGATTGTATGAGCTGGATGAGATGCAGTGAGATTCCCATTTCCTTGAGGCACTTCCACAATTTGTCATGATCAATACAATTGAAAGCCTTTGAGTAATCAATAAAGTGCATGTATAGATCTTTTTGGTATTCCCTCACTATTTCCATCATCAAACAAAGATTAGCAATATGATCACATGTTCCTCTTCCCTTTCAGAAACCTGCCTGTGCATTTGGCATCTCTCTGTCTATGGTTGAGTACATACGCTGTTGAATGATCTTCAGTAGAATCGTACTAGCATGTGAAATCAGAGCAATGATGCGATAGTTGGAGCAATCTTTGGTATTACCCTTCTTTGGTATGGGGATAAAAATAGATCTTTTCAATCCTTTAGCCATTGGCCATTCTTCCACACACTACGGCACAGTGCTGTCAAAACTTTTAATGGTAAGGGTCTCAGTAATGCTGCTGGTATTCTATCGACTCCTGGGGCCTTGTGGCTAGCTAGCTGTTTGAGTGTCCATGCCACCTCTTCTTCTAACATGTCTGGCTCAAGATGGCATGCTTTTAAGATGATTGGTACATTCTGGCCCAAGGGTTTCACAAGTTGGTACCACATTTGAAAGTGTATTTGTAAATTGATCCATAGGATATTTTGGCAAAATACTGGAGTAGGTTGCCAGGTCTTTCTCCAGGTCTCTAAATAATTTGTTACTTATGTTAAAATGGTTTCGAACTCGAAAAGTATCTTAATCAGTAATAATTAATAAATGTGATAATCTCAGCATTTGAGCACTTTGGAATCTTGAAAATCATGATCCAAAATAATGTCAGTCAAAAGAATGACTGACATTAAAATGATTAAGGATGTTTTAAATTGTTATTAAAAAATTTTTTGTAGTAAAGAATAATAAATGGTACTTAGTAAGTCATAGTAAGTTAAAAATATAGTGTTGTGTGTATATAGACACATACACAAACAAACTGAATTTTTCCAACACCCACACTTAGTACCACTATAAAAATTACAAGTAATAAATAAAACTGAAGATTATGATGAACCTATTGATAATCAACTGATCAATTAAATTAAAAATTAATGCCACTCATCATTTAATTATCCAATTTCCAATGTTCTCCCCAGACTAGTTTGGCTGGTCATTCAGCTGAATTTTCACTCTGACCAGTTACAACAAAAAATAAAACAAAAAATACGGTAGTACAGTCGACCCCCCCTATAATTATGGTCCCAATAATTACAATTCCTATAAAACTGCAAAAAAATTGTGACGGTATCCGTAAAAAACAGTAAAAAACCCCCTATAATTAAGTTAAACGTCATCAGGCAGCCAAACTACTTTCCCACCGTCTGTAGCGCCCCGCTACGGAGAGATTTCTATCGTCTGGACAGTATTATATAAATTATATATAAATTAGGTACTGTACATATAATTATATNTTATATATTATATTCCAATAAAGTATAATAATAACAAAAATTCATTTTTTCTCTTTTTTTCATACATAGATGTATAACTAATGACAAGTAAATTTCATCAAATATAATACATACAGAGTGGAAATCAGCTAAAACCAAGCTATGTAATATTAAAAAATAAATAAATGAAATATATACGACATAAATTTTTGATATACAAATATTATATAACATTAATGCAGATGATTATTTTTCAACTAATAATTCGGAGAATGAATTAACTTCAAAATTAACTTGAATGTTTTCGGTATAATAATTTTAATCCTGAAATGTTATACATTTAACATGTGGGGTCCACATAAGAATTTATTAGATACACTACCAACAAATTTTTACAAATTATTTATATTAATGATGTCTCCGAAGTTCAACGAAGTTTTAGCAGAAAAATAAGTTATCAGAAACTGGCCATGGTTTGGTGTGCTGCTTCGCGACGAAAACAAGCTTTAGCAATGGAGTTGTCGAATGGTGCATACTCGGTAAGTAATCCTACAATTTTTTGTTTATAGCTTAGTTTATACGGATTATTTCCAAAAAATATATACGTATTTTGGAAATGTTAAGTCGGATTAGTCTAGAATCGATTAATTTTATGGAAGAAAACCTTTCAATCAGCCGTAGTCTGTAAACTTTACACGTGTCAGGCTGTGATTGGAACGACTCGTAAGAAATCGGATTCCTAAAAAATGGAACGTATCTATGATCTTATAGGGGGGAGGTCGACTGTATGTTTCTTGTCTAGTTTAAACTATTGATATTATCTATAAACTTAATAGCAGCTTCCTATACCCAAATTTATTACACTGTTAAGAATACAGACAATTTATGAAAATATACTGACTTCATAGCTTGTCTATTCTTAGTGGTGTAATAAGTTTAGATATAGGAAGCTGTTATTAAGCTTATAGATAGTAAAACAAAAAATACTTTCATTTCTTTTTAAAGATAACTAGACTACCGATTAGTAAGTTATTGAGTGTTATAGTATGTGTACTGTTTTGTTGTCATTAACTAGCAATTCTAACAAAATTTGCGTTATTAGACAGTTAACATTGCAAGTCAACTGCATCTTAAAATTAAAAAAAATCTAAATACACAATTGCTATAAACTTTTTATTAATTTTTGAAGAGCACTTTTGGTAACATTTATTACAAAATTGTATTTTAGTTTTTAGGAAGTAATTTCCAACTTTATATATAATATTGTGATATTCATATCATTTGTAATTACTATCTATTATCTATTACTCTACTATCTATTTTAATATAAATGCAGATATTTCAGAAAATAATTTAAAAAAAAAAAAAACAGATCAAATACAAATATTAAGTCAAATCTGGAAAAGATAACTCCATATGTATAAATGTAGGAAAAAACTCGAAAGTGAGTTGAAACTATCTTCTGTCTTTTCTTGATTATATTAGTATCTTGCACTTTTGAATTTTCTTTTCTTAGGAACAAATATTCAGTTATAAAGGTTATTACATTCATAGATGTGCTATTGAATTTTTTTATCTCAAGATTTTAGAAGTAATTATTCAATGATTTTGACCTATGAAAAATTTCATTAATTTATATTACAGTAGAGCATTGATTATCCGAATACTGATCAACCAAAACATCAGTTAACCGAAAGCATTCCAGTTGGCAAATTCAAATTTCCGCTAGGGCTTTGGCGTTGTAGCACTCTTCTCATCCCTGCCAAACTGAACTGTAGGCCTAGTTTAATGTATTACATTATGTAAGGTATGTATTTGTAAGACATGTGATACAAATTATATACAGTACAGTTTTGTGTTTAATATATTTTTTTGTAAATGAACAGTTATCCGAACAACTCCAGTCCCAAATTATTTTGGATAATCGATGCTCTACTGTACTTTCATATTATCGGTGGTATAGATGTAACTTTTAATTTAAATTGTAACAGCAAGTATTTATAAACATAAATGTTAAAATTTATTAACTTCTTATCCATTTACTATTGCTACATTTTTTGCAATTTCAGTACTATATTATTTCTTATATATTATATTCCAATAAAGTATAATAATAACAAAAATTCATTTTTTCTCTTTTTTTCATACATAGATGTATAACTAATGACAAGTAAATTTCATCAAATATAATACATACAGAGTGGAAATCAGCTAAAACCAAGCTATGTAATATTAAAAAATAAATAAATGAAATATATACGACATAAATTTTTGATATACAAATATTATATAACATTAATGCAGATGATTATTTTTCAACTAATAATTCGGAGAATGAATTAACTTCAAAATTAACTTGAATGTTTTCGGTATAATAATTTTAATACCTGAAATGTTATACATTTAACATGTGGGGTCCACATAAGAATTTATTAGATACACTACCAACAAATTTTTACATGACTCCAGATGTAAACAATTGCCATAAATCAAAACTACAGAATATAAATATAACAAATGAAAGCTTAATTTATTTTAAACTTAATTAATAAATAATAAAATGTATATTAAACACTCTTGGCCGGTTTTTAATAAAAGTACGTTTTATTTCATATCTTAATAATTTGAATTTAGTATCTAAACAAAATTCTAATTACAAATATATAAATGAAAATGTAATATTACCTTCTGGACCCCATTTGAAATCGACAGTCAAACCAGAAAATAATAAAATTAAGACATTTAACAATTCAAACAAGTTTAAACTTAACGATAAAAATTTCCTCTTTCATCCGTTGTTAGCTGTCCGCCATCTTGAACGTCTGTTGCTGAGTTTCGATAGCTAAAAATTAATTAGAATTTTAAAAATAGAAACAATACAATATTATAACAACATTGTTTATTAAAAGTATTAATACAATATTTCCTGATAGTAGCGGACGTGACTTTTTATAATTAAAATATTTTTAAGTTTTGTAAAATTATTTTCTTAATTACCATTTTTTATGTTTACGCAATTTTTTACTGCAATATTGAATTATAAAGTATAAAAACGCTAATTAATAATAGATTTAAAAAATATATGTTTAATTCTTATCATGGAAATCGAACTCAAAGCCAAAGCTCAAATTTTAATATCATTACACTTTTAGTACTGAATTAGTGCCTGTTAATCATAAACTAAAGAATTTTCTTTATTTTTTTAAAAAAGTTTATATACTATATGTATGATTTTGTTATTCAGTAGATAAATAGTCTTTGTGGAAAAAAATCTCTAAATATTCATGTTAAAGATGTAAATGATGAAGCTTATTATTCGATTGGTTTTGATTTTCATGGGATAAGGTAACACAACAAATAAGCGATATGCCAAAGATCCGGGAAAACTTTCTACGAAAAACTGGTCCCTATTTAGGGGTTAGACACATGAAAAAAACCTGGAAAACTCCACATGTTCAGTTTGTTGATGAGGCATGAACCCGCTACTAAACCAATGTTATTAAATACCTAAAAATAATCTAGTTAATAAAATACGGGATAGTAAAAGACAATATTATATTAGAAAATACCGTATACATTATATCGAAAACACTATTTCCTTATATCATCTGTAAAGTTCTCTATAAACAATAGTTTATTAATTGCTGTATTTTTTGTCTGTGAAAATATATGATAAACAATTTAATCAGAGGGAATAATTAGAGACAAACAAATTTCTATAAAAAATTATTTGCAAAAGTTTGAGTTACATGTAATNTTGATCGTTTGTGTTGTTCCATCAGCTGCTGCTTCTACGGTGTATCTGTTAGGATTGCTGCTTTCCCTCTCCTGCTATTTTCGATTTTTTTCTTAATTTCAACATGTGGAATTGACATTATTTCTATGGGAGAGACATGACTAAAAACTGAATGAGTAGGCCTACTTGTAGTGGTCTAATCGGTAACCGTTTCTGCACCCAGATTAGGCATATCTTCACCTTCATAGTTTTGGTTATTTGGCATTTGGTATTATATGGTACATATTAGACAATTTGGCGAAGTGATGGATATCTTGCTATATTACATTATCTCTCTTCCTTTGCTCAGGAAAGAATTCGACATTATGTACATGTTATATAAAAATATTTTATTGTCATATAATAGTTAAGTCTTACCTTTCCTAATAGAGAAGCAATGGCGCACGAGAAATACACTATAGCTCTGTTTCTATTCGAGAATCCTTTCTTGGTAATCACACAATCAGCTAATTGTTCGAAAAAGTAAAATATGTATACCTGTATCCTGTATAATTTAAACATGCAACTATAATAAAGACGTCAATAACAATAGTTAAATACACTTACTATACGATGATAATCGGACAGCTTTCTAAGAAAGCATTTCCAAAACTTTACGCCTTTAGCAGGTTCCACTAATAAAAAACAATAGAAAAAAAAAACAAAAATTTGTATTATTGAACTGCAATTTGAAAAAATTGTAACCTATAAATTCCCACTGTCGTCCGTCTTTAGAAAAGAGTTAGGCAGATGAAATCCGAGACAAGATATGGAAACCTTAAGGGCAGGTGGCCCGATTACCTATATAACAACTTCCGAAAGTCACTTTACGTCAATTCAAAACTTTTCCGCCGAAAGCTGTTAGACAGACGACTCTATTGTTAAATGAAAAGTATGATGTACTGTACAGGGGCAAACCACTACTAATTTAAGGTGAAGAGCATATATTTTGAATTAAATTAATTAAAAATATGATTAAAAATTGCAGCCCGGCATTGTGACGATGTCACAATAAATAATTGCTCGTTTTGTAGCTATAAATTATCATCATTATTATCCATCCTACTTACAGCAAAATTCATCCGTAGTTTCTTCATACGAAATATGAATTAATACAAAAATAATTATAGTTATAAGCAGCAGAAACTACATGCTTGGAGTTAATTAAACCAATTTAATTAAAGTACTAAGAAATTTATCATTAAAAGGAAACGTGATAACAGGAGGTTTTATGAAAAGCGACTTTTACAAAATTATTCTTAATTTAAAATATCAGCGCTAGAAATATATACAGTGGTGCCTCAGTGTGTGAAGCCCTGGAAATAGCCCCTCCCCAAAAAGGGAAGATATGTAAAAATTTGTTATGTTAAATCGTCAGGAAAGTAAATATATAAGTGTCGAATCGGCGACACCCGACTTTGACGTCGACGCTCATCAAAAGTTGACGGAAAAACCAAATTTTAGATGTAAAAAGAAAAAAATTTAAAATATTAAAACTTAAGACGCAGTTTAGAAAGCAAAACGAAACTAGATAAAAAAATGTCTAGATGAGCGAAGGTGTCATAGTCAACAATTAAACGCGATCAGATTCGAAAAGATGGTGTCGGATAAACCATCTCCAGCCGACCTTTTCCACGAACTTAACGAAGCTCCATTTACACCTGGAGACAGGTGTATGAGCAATTGGAAAACGGTGATGTAAGAACTATCCAATTGACAAGAAGCCGATCGCAAAAACCCTATAAAAACGCAAAAATCAAGGACAACGAAACTTCCACTAAGACTTTTCCACCTAGACTACCTGTTGTGTTCGTTTGTCGACAGCTGTCGTGTTTCCTTTCATCTTTTGTGTGCTGTCACTTCAGATCTCGAACTTCTCACTCGACGCAGTCACGGGGCCCCTCCAGCGTAGGACCAGATCGACACCGAAAACAACCCAAGGTTCTGAACTTAAGGACCTTTGCCAAAAAATTANGTAAGCGAGTACCCTTGGGTCCTTCCAAAATCTTCGGGTTATATACCACCTAGCGTAGCGACGGTTACGGACGCGGAAGTAACTGAGGCTCCATCCCAAGGCCAATGTCACGAGCGCCCGTCACCGCCTACTCCCATTGGATTATTTACCAAAAATTGTAAATGGTGATCTCTTTCACCTGTTTAGAAGAGGTCATCATCCCCAATGAGGAGAAGGTTAGTTTGTAAAAACTCGCGTACGGTCAACAAACTTTGTCGGAAATCGGAACTTAACTAGTAATGTGAAACTCTTTCTTTCATAGATGATGAAATTGAAACCTGTAACCTTTTAGTCATTTGTGATGATACTTTGTATCGCGAACGAACCTTCGACTTTTGTGCCAGTGTAGATGAAAAAAAAAAGTGTTTTTTGATTTTTGTCGGAAAAAGAAAAATGTAAAAATTGTCATTCACACACTCGTTGTTCCAATCCAAAAATTGTCGCGAGAAAGAAACGCTCATTTAAAAATCTCATAGATTGAGCAATTTATACAATTGAAAAATGAGGAAAATTGACCCTCCAAATTAGAACGCACTGAAACAATCAGATCTGTAACGAGAAAACAGCCGTCAAGAAGCTGATAGCAACAGGAGAATAATCACGAAGTGTCGAATGTTCAGCAGAATTGAGAGAAACGTCGCTTAAGAACCACGTGACCTTGATTTGTGGAAATCTGCATCGAAAAAGATGACAGAAAATTGTCACGTGTTTACGACAAGAGGACATCGGAAGAAGCGATGCCTGCAAACGATGCTGAGGTCGATGAACGTCCACCTCCATGCAGATATTCTTTCATTCTCCTCTCCAGATTCTAACAGAAAACTCGAAAGAAAAAAAGACAAGAATGGTAATCTCTTGAATGACAGACTGATTGAACAAATTTAATTTAGACCACGTTTGGCTTTTCGGAGAACAAGGAAAATTTTTGAATTGATATAACTTGCTCAGTCTACAAAATTAGAAAAAAATGTTTTCAAAAGAAATCCGTATCTTGACGAAACTCAAGAAATGTTACGCGAAGTATCAATTAGTAGATCAGGTGTAACGCTTACATGATGTGACCATCGAGCACATTTCGATGTAACGCGAAACCAAACACGCGCGAGAGAAAAAAAAAATAGAAAACGAAAAACGATTGTAATTGTGATCTTGTATTACAAGAAGGAAGCGAACTGTCAGCTTCCGAGGCTGCCAGAGAAAATGTCGCTGGCACCAAGCGACATTTTCCTTTGGTAGGGAGCCCTGTGAAGCCCTGGAAATAGCCCCTCCCCAAAAAGGGAAGATATGTAAAAATTTGTTATGTTAAATCGTCAGGAAAGTAAATATATAAGTGTCGAATCGGCGACACCCGACTTTGACGTCGACGCTCATCAAAAGTTGACGGAAAAACCAAATTTTAGATGTAAAAAGAAGAAAATTTAAAATATTAAAAGTTAAGACGCAGTTTAGAAAGCAAAACGAAACTAGATAAAAAAATGTCTAGATGAGCGAAGGTGTCATAGTCAACAATTAAACGCGATCAGATTCGAAAAGATGGTGTCGGATAAACCATCTCCAGCCGACCTTTTCCACGAACTTAACGAAGCTCCATTTACACCTGGAGACAGGTGGATGACCAATTGGAAAACGGTGATGTAAGATCTATCCAATTGACAAGGAGTCGATCGCAAAAATCCTATAAAAACGCAAAATTCAAGGACAGCGGGACTTTTTTACTTGATTTCTACTTCCACCAAGACTTCCACCTATACTTCTGTTGTATTCGTGTATCTTCATCTTTCGTGCATCGACTTTCGAGACATCGAACTTTTTTTTCTCCTCGACACTGTCCAGGGGCCCCTACGACGACGCACCGGATCACCGCCGGAATTCTCAACAACGCAAGACCAGCACCGAAGCCTAAAAATTGTGTAAGCATATTCGTCCGAAATAAACGGTTTACCTTTGTAAACACTTGTCTTTGCTGCCTTTACAAACCGCCACCCACATACGCTAAGACCTTAGACCATCCCGACGGTAGGGAATAAAAATCCCCCCCCAATCGGCGTTCTTACATTAGCTTTAAAGAAAATTGAAGAGATTAAAGAAAGAACAACAGGAACAAAAATCAATGCATGAAATGCAGTTTCTAATGCAATAAGAAATACAATTTTCACTAATATAATTGAAGCGTACATATCTCTGTATACAAATAAAATTCCTAAAATGGTTGACAGAGATCCTTGACATATTGGATAGCCAATACGATACAGACTGTCTTTCATTTTTTCCTTTGGAGTTTGATACGGAGAACAAATATACGCGTAAGATATGTGAGCCGGATAATTGACGCAAAATCCGACACATAATATCAGACTCATCATAGATAAAATATCCATGTTTATACCCCACAGAGACATGTATCCTAATGTTTCTACAATGGTGGATGTTACCGATATTGCAACGAGAACTGCAACGACGATGTTTGGTATGAAAACTATAAAAAGAATCATGACCAAAAGTGAAGTGATCCAAAATAAATCCTGAATTGTACGTCCAATTATAATTCCTTGTTCGTACAGAGGTGCGACTGCTGAATAAACAAGAACAGGATAATCAAATTCGTCGGCAATTTTCCAGAGTGTTTTTAACATTTCCATTTCAGCTTCTGTACTTAACGTATCATTCACAAGTACATGGAATCTGCTACTTAAAATATCGGATCCATCAGAGTTGAATGCGATATCGTCAGAGAATTGTTCCGCTGATTTAAATTTCAGGAAAACATCGCGAAGTCCATCCAAGAAATCTTGTTTAACCGACATGTTGTATCCTCGTAATGAATACTTTGCTAGCGGGTGATTTTGGAATTCTTTGTAATATTTTAACCAAGATATTCTGAATCTGGAATGTGCAATATATGGAAGACTTTCGAATTTGTTGAGTAGGTCGTCTACGGATTTCTGTACATTTAAATCTGAATAATCAAGTGTTCTATTAATTATTATATGGTAAGGAAACGTATAACGGCCGAAACTATTATAATATGTTTTAATACCCTGTGTTATTACCGATTTTTGTGGATATAACTTAGTAAAATCTATACCGTGTTTTATATTTAAGGCTCCCCATATTCCAAGTGATAAATTTAGAAAGTACACGATGATAACTGTTAACTTAATTACATTCATAGATAGAATTTTTCCAAACTTGTCCCTAAAATATGCCATTGTTGGCTCATCAGTAGACGTTTCTTCTTCTGTACAATCATTTTCGATATCTTCTGTAAATAAACTTACCATTTAAAATATTCATACGAGATTTTTATTCAAAAAGTAATTTTAAACAATGTATAGGTAATTTTTTAATCATTTAATGTAATATTAATTATCCGCATATGAAATGAAAATAAGAGGTATGATTAAAAAATGAAAATGAAAAGTATTCAGAAATTTTTTAAAAGCACATCGAAAAGTATTCAAAAAGATCACCTTTTTCTGTACGATATTTTTAAGCATAATTTTCATTTTATTTTAAGGAAAAGCTGTTTATTGTTAAAACAAAATATAAGATATCAGCCAAGAAAGAAGGGGAAAGTGAAAAAAAAATGGGGAATGAGCATAAAAAATTAAAAAAATAAATGATCCCTCTCAGAGGCTTACGAAAGAATAATACTACGTAAGCCTTAGTAGTAACCTACACCAATAACCAGTGCAGCGACAAGCAAGCTAGAAAGAGCAAAGTTAAAATCTTAAGTTTAAATTAAAAATTTACCGTAATTTAAAATAAAGCGATATTTGTAGAAATCATACTTCAATAATATATTAAACTATTCTAAATTAACGACATGTACTGTATTTTAAATGCTGTGAAAAATCTATAATGTACTATTTTAGCTGTGTCAATTCAATATGCTGTAGGAAACGTTTACGTAACTGATAAGAATATAAGTTACTAGCAGACCCCACCACGCTTTGTAGTGGCTCAAAATGTATCTATTATAAATGTATAACACTTCCCCAGTGAGAGAAAATTTTTCGAAAAATTCCTTCTTAGTGTACATTCTGTTGACGTACCCTATTAAAACGCAATCAAAAACGCAAAAACCCGCATCTAAAATAGTATAATAGAAACAGAGTTCTTTACGGTAACCTTTTCCGTAAGGCTTACCGTAAAGAACTGTCCATCCCCCATGTTTAACGGAATAATATATAGCCTATGTCCACCCTGAAGTTCCATTCTAGATATTTGTGAAAGAATTTTTGAAATAGGATGACTAGTTTCGGAGATTACCTGCTGCATACAAACTAACATACATACAAACATTACCTCTTTATAATATTAGTATAGATGAGTATTACTCTTTTAATACTACATATGCAAGAAGATTACGAGTAATATTTGTTATATATATATATATATATATATAACAAATATATATTATTAATATATATGTTATGGACAGAGTGATTAATCGGATATTATACATAATGCCCGGTCATTATGAATACGCGCGAGCAGTGTAGTAATTATTCATTAATTTATCAAATTGACCGGTCATTATGAATACAGCCATCACGTAGTCGGGCAAAGTGATAATAATACGTTGAAAAGTGGTCATCCAACATACGCTAGCCAGTGGCACTCTGAGTTGCAGAGTGTATCCTGTTGTGTATTGCGTTTAGTACTGAATTTTATATTGTGTGACATTTTAATTTGATTAAAAAACTCTACTTATTTCATTTAGAAATATTTATTTTTGTGAATTATTTTATAGTACTTAAAAATATGTAATGTTTTAAATTAAACTAAGTACCATTAACTATATTAATTAAATAGTAAAATTATACCTATGTGCACCGTAATGGCGGCGGTCGCGACTGCTTGTGTTCCCAACAGATTCCTACCCGAGGAAAGCCGCCGGCAGGCCGCCAATTTGTTAACGTCACTACATATTGATACATACTAGTTATTGATACGTGTGTTCAAGAACTACGTGAATCAATATCTACTGACGTTAAACAATACGCGGCCTGCTGGCAGCAGCCCTCCTGTAGGAATCCATCAAAAGCACAAACAGACGCGACTACCCCAAATTCGGTACAATATGCAACACACACGCTCAACTCAGATGCGAGTGCTGGTTGGCTAGCATATTTTAAATAATCACTCTTTGACACATTATTATCACTTTGTGCGACTAGATGATAGCAGTATTCATAATGACCGGTCAATTTGATAAATTATTGAAATTTATTACAATGTCCGATATTGTTAGTCATTATTCAAAATGACCGAGCATTATAAATAATGGCCATATTAATCACATTGTCCATAACATATATATTAATTTTAAATTTATTTAAACGTAACTAATCAGAAGAAATGTTAATTATCGTAATGTTAATTAATGTCTTAAATTAATAAAATTCAATATTAACAACATACTCAGTTGTGACGTAAAAATAAAGCTGCAATTAACTACTTGATAGTAATTTGGCAACACAAATTAAGTTTCTGCAAATAATTTCACATTACAGAACACTTAAACGAAATAATGCATCATATAATCAATACACTATAAAATTACTTTTTATGCTATGCCAACAGTCTGTTGATACTTCCATGTACAATCTCATATGCCATAGAAATTATGAATAACCGTAAACATATATAAACATATATTTAATTTAAAAACTTAAATCATCTTACGGATATTAAGACGAAATGCTTGTTGTTGTTTTTCTTCTTTGTATCCTGATAATGCCATGCAACCTGCAAAAAATGTTATTTGATACAAAAATGTGAACACTACGCTAGTTGCTGAATAATAACAAAACATTCTTATAAGAGGAAAAGATGCCGTCATTCCAATACAATACGAAAACAGATTAGTCAACGATGTTAAAGTTATAGAAACTCCTGCTTCACACAATGTTTCTTCCATGCGTTTGTGTACTTTATGCTTGGGGTTTGATATTCTCCAACACGCCAATAATACGAAGGCATCATCGATCTCTGTCACTGCATGAAAAAACTTTTATTAATTGAAGAATTCATAATCTAAAAGTAAACAAATATAAAAGCGCGAGTAATTACTTACCGAGAACTAAAAACGGAATGGTTATGTTCCAAATACTATTTTGAACACCGACAATTGACATGAATCCGAAAGATGTGACCACGGCCAGACCAGCAGATACGACACTTGCAACACCCAGAAAAGGCTTGCTTTTTGCCCAATTATTGCTCATATACGTAACTGTAGTAAACAAAGAAATAAATGCAACTACTGCACCGATCATAGGTTTTATATTTTCCACTAATTGCACATTTTGTTGTTCCATTGACCAGTTGTAGTCAATGAAAAACAGAACATATTTAAATTGGTGATTTCTTATTTGATTGTAAACTTCTGTTCGCCATCTTTCTATCACATTGTGTTTTTTCTTGTCGCTTTCGTCAGTGAAATAAACTAATCTCATAGCATTTGCTGCCTGAATGAAATCGTTTTCATCTTCAGTTACATCCCCAAAGTTGAGAGAATAAATTCGATAAGAGTATGTCAGCGGATCTATGTCGAACGGATACTTCAATTTCTTCTTTCTCTGCACTATTTTATCAATTTCGGGCAATATTTCGATAATCGGATTTTCAAAACATTTTTCGCCTACACGTGCACAAATATCTGAATATCCAATTTTCCTACCTTTATCGTCAATTGTTATATTCTTAATAAACTGATCCGCCAGACTTATTTCCAGTAGCACATCTTTTTCGAGCATGTCTCCACCACCTTTCTTTGTAAATGTAACAAACACACATTTAGGTACGTCTGTAAAACTTGTTGGATCAAAGAATTTCGATGTATTAAAAGGAAAGTTTTCGTCAATAAACTTCTTAGTATTATAGACTTTTCCTGAATCTGCAAATACCAGTTCGATTGTGTTTGAGATAGTGTTTATATTGAAGATGAAAGCTGAGAATGACGCTGTTATTAAAATAGGAATAAAGATAAAATAGTACGGATGAAGTCCGATTAATCTTCCTAATTTTCGAAAAACGATGGATAATCGTTTCTTCACACAGTCAGTTTTCATGTTTTAATTTTTATTTATAAAAAGATATTATTTTGTCTATAAAAAATAAAAATAAAACATCATTTCGATAATTTTAAAAATTCACAATAAGTATTTTTTCATCGGACATAAGTATAAAAGCGTCCTTCATCTTTTGTCTCATTGTGTAATTTCGGGTTTTTTTAAAAAGAAAGATCTAAATAAAGTCACTTTCGGCAATAAAGTTTTTAATCCTAAAGTCATACGAAGAGACAACAGATAAAGCACATTTCTAAAATTATGTCTGATAAGAACATTTTTGCAAATACAATAGATCCCTATAACGCGGGTTTATATAATGCAGATTCGTATATCGCGGGAAAAAATTGAGACTGTATTCGTATAAAGACGCAAAAAGAGACTCGTAAAATGCGGTAAAATGTTATCGCCGACTCGTCTCGCGACAGCATTAGTCGAATCTAAACCAATACTAGATGAGCAGCCGAACTACTTACACACTGCAGAGTTGAGGCGGGTAAGTTGAGTTTACTATCGTCTGTACTGTATTTAAATAAGGTTCTGTAAGTCTAATACAGTACTGTAATTTTATACATTTCTTGTGAAAAAATAACATTTATGTAACGGCCGTAAAAGTTATTTCTATTAGTGATATCTCCAAAGTTTAGCGAATTTTTCGCAGAAAAATTACTTATTAGAAATCGCGCCCGCCATTTGGTGCGCTGCTCCGCGACAAAAACAAGCTTAAGGAATGGTGACGTCGGACGTTGCACACTCTGTAAGTAATCCTACAATTTTTTATAGCATAGTTTATACGAATTATTCTCAAAAAATTATAGTGTTTTGGAAATTTTGAGTCAAATTACTCTACAATTGATTCATTTTATGAAAGAAAAAAACCTTTCAAACAGCCGTAGTTTGTAAACTACACAAGTGCTGGGCTGTGATTGGCTCATGTATTGAAGGATTCCTACAACGCGAAATTCTTATAAAGTGGAACGTATCTACAGCGTTATAGGGGGTCGACTGTATTTTGATAACTTTTTGTATTTTTATCATTTAAATAAATTCAATCAAATGATTCATTAGAGTTTAGATTTCGTATTTGTAAAGTATTAATTCAACTTAATTCGTAGTTATTAAAAAATGCTTTTAAACTCGTTTTTATTTAATTTGAACGTGAAACATATTTTACTATTACCTTTCTAAACATGGTTTATGACGATGTTTTACTTTTTTAAAAATAAACATTGTGTCCTGACTTATTTTGTACAGTCGACACCCCTATAATTACGGTTCCTATAATTACGATTCCTTATAAAACTACGAAAAAATATACGTATTTTGGAAATGTTGAGTCGGATTAGTGTAGAATCGATTAAATTTATAAAAGAAAACCTTTCAATCGGCCGTAATCCGTAAACTTGACACGTGTCGGGCTGTGATTGAAACGACTTGTAAGAAATCGGATTCCTAATAAATTGGAACGTACTTATATCTTATACGGGGGTCGACTGTACTGTACATTGAGAATAAGACAAATATATAATACTACACATTTCCTACACTTTTAAATGATTATTATAAATTAATGAATGAACAAAGCTTCTCTACTTTTCATTTATTATTTAAATTTTAAAAGTAACGTTAAAATTCGATGAAGCCATTAAACTTTAAAATTCATTATTTTTAAGTTTACATATAAGATAAAACTGATTAAACTTTCAGTTATGAAATGAGCTGTAATTTTCTTGTACAAGTAGAATATTTATGAATATTATCAGAAAGTCTACATTTTATTTGGTTAAATATTATTCTAGTAAAATCATTCAAAATTATGTAAAATAGTATACATTCGACCCCAATATAAGACGGTAGATACATTCCGTTATTTATCAATCGATTTTTTACGAGTCCTTGCCAATCACAGCCCGACATGTATGCACTTTACTGTGCATACGTGTCGGGCTACGGCTGTTTGAAAAGTTTTCTTCCATAAAATTAATCGACTCTAGATTAAACCGACTCATCATTTCCAAAACGCGTATATTTTTTTGGAAATAATCCGTATAAACTACGCTATAAACAAAAAATTGTAGGATCACTTACTAAGTGTGCACCATTTGACATTGCCGTTGCTCAAGCTTGTTTTCGTCACGGAACAGCTCAGCAAACCGCGGAAGCGATTTTTTATGTTATTTTTCTGCGAAAGCTTCGTTGAACTTTGGAGACATCATTAATGTATATAATTTTAACTGCCGTTGAATAAGGAATGTTTTATTTTTCACACAAAATGTATAAAATTACAGTATTGTATTAGACTTATGGTACTCAATTTACATACTGTACAGGCAATAGTTCGCCTAAACTCTTTGTAGCATGGCGCTAGACGGCAGAAAATATATATATAAACAATATACATAAGTTACAATAAATTAAGTTAATATATAATTATATATACAGTATTTAATTTATGTATAATTAATATATAATTATATGTACAGCATTGAATTTATATATAATTTATATATAATAGTGTACAGACGGTAGTAATCTCTCCGTAGCGTGGCGCTTGACGGCAAAAAATAGTTGCGCTGCCCGATGACGTTTTACGTAATTATAAGAGTTCTACCGTTTTTTACGGATACCGTCGCAATTTTTTCGCCGTTTTATAGGAATCGTAAATATAGGAACCCGTCTAATAGGGGGTCTACTGTATTTACAGATTTTTTACTATTAAAACAAATATTTTATATTTTATAAAGTCAACAGATCATAATACTGAGAAAGCTCATTCGTTCAGATAAACGAACGTTTTTAACCCATTCAATGGGCCATCACCAAATTAAAGACGTTCGAATCAATAAATAAGAAGAACAAAATAAAATAAAATACAAAATACGTTAATTCCCCACAAAACAATATGTACATACAAATTTTTTAAGGGGTAGGGATAGCTCTACTTTCATAAAGGAATCTCTGCTAAATATTTTCAACAAGAGAGACGTTGTTAACCATTACAGAAACAGAAGCTAAAAAATTTTATGGAAATTTTTTTGCTGAGAAATTCTCAGTGCCAGCCCGTAACGTAGATACTTTTAGAATATTACTCAAAAACAAAAAGTCCATGATTCTCAAACCTTATAAAGCATTTTGCTGACATAGAGATTAATAGACAGGTAAAACTGTTGCTAAAATCGTGATTAATTAAACTCTCGTCGTTTCTGTACGCCGTTCCAAACTCATTAGGTAAAAAAGTTGATAAGACTAATTCATGTATGAATTACAGAAAGTTAAACAAGTTGAGTAAAATTAACTATGAACCTATTTCTAAAATAGATTATCTGTTAAATAGACTTATATGTACGATATTTTTTACAGTATACATCCTGTCAACCTATTGGCATGTTCCTCTTTTTTCTGAAAACAAAGAACTAACTCCCTTTGTAATGAATTTTGGTCACTTCTAGTGGAATTGTTGCATTGGAAGCTTTTGCTTTTGGGCAGTTGAGCTTCATTTCATTTAATATTTTAAAACAACTTTTGAGTTACCCGTTAAGTTTCTTTAAAAAAAAATAGAAAAAAAAAACATTTAAAAACAGCAAACAAGTAAGCAAGCAAAAATAAAAGTAAAATTAGTAAAGAAAACAATTCTAATATAATTTAATAATTACTCACCGTATTTTCGTTATTTATTTTCATTATCCGAAATGTCTGCCACGATAAGTTTTACGATCCGGCGGTAATTGTATTTATCAACAGTGTTATAATTTATAATATTTTAATAACGAATTTGCAAATTAATTTTGTTACTCGAAGACTGAATTCAGTCGTTAGACTTGTTAATATGAAAAGGAAATGAACGTTGCAGGAATTTATAAATTACTTACGGGGAAAAATTTATGAACAATTTAGACAAAAAGAGGAAACTTTAGAATAAATTCTGTAATTCATGATTACTGAGCCATGCAACTATATTCCTGAAATACGTTAATGAGTTATTTCGATGAATTTTTAGTGTTTTGACATTTAGTATTTAAAAATTAAACCGACTGTAAATAAATATTTACGTATAGTAAAAAACATGAAATCATTTATTGACATTAAATAATAAATTAAATACAAGATTACAATTTGAATAATTATATTCGGTGTAATCAAAGTTGAAGGAGGAAAAAACGAAAGATAGACAACATATTTTTCCTCGTTACTTCTACGTAGAATAAAATCGCATAACGAATATTAATAATGCAATTATCCTTGACTATAATGTAGTAAAATCAATTGTGATTTATGCAATGTTTTATTGTCTATAATTCTATACCCATGGCAATAATAATACCACATTTAAATACCACAACTATATTTCGGTAAAATAAATATACGTTGATATATTTATTTTAGAGAAACACAGCAGTAGTAACATGTGTCGCTTAGATATATTAAATTTCCGTATAATATTCAAATATAAAATATTATTAAAATAATTTAATTTTTTAAGGTTATAATTATGTATTATTCACTGTGCTACTTTGTAAAAAAGTGTGAGAAGTCTTTTTCAATTTCGAACAACTATAATTAATATAAAATAACGTAAATTTTATTTAAAAAAGATTTGATTATCAACGTCATCTTAAAATTTTCTAAGTACAGATATAGCAGTCTAATAAGATTTATAATTATTTTCTGTGTAAAGTTGCGATTTCTACAGGAAGAACAGACAACAGTAAGAGCTTTTTCCTCAGTTTTCTACGTAGATTTACAGTAAAAAAAAAACGCATTACAAATGATTAGGATGCAGCTTTCCTTCATTGTGATGTAGTAATTTCCATTGTCATTTTGTATTCTTTTATTATTTATAATTTTATACGCTGTTGGCTGATTCGTCATTAGAATAATAATAAATACTATTTGTAATTATTTTGTGAGCAGACGGAGCTCAGGGGGCGATCCCTAATGACAACTTATTCGGCACGTGTTTGTAAAATACGCTCTCGTTGTTAAATTAGGAGGGCTTTTAAAAT